CTTCCATTTTCTAATCAGCAATTATTAAGTTTGGTTGCTTGCCATTGGAAAGCTCCTCCACTTTCACCTACAGTATCTATGGTTTTGATTTTAAATATAGGAAAAGGCACAGAGAAATGTCATGTTTTAGTGATTAGTACTGTGGCCTTGCAGAACTGCTGTTCAGGGATCACTTCCTACAAGGGATGCAATCTGCATGGTTTGTCTTCAATTTTTTTTTGTATGGCTTTCCTCCAAGTGATCCGTTTTCACTGCTAGGTTAATCATCTCCTGTCTACAGTTGTCCCCAATAGCTGGAGCTTTGAACCAGGGACTGGTATGAATGGCTGTTCTCAACAAATACTGTGAAATATGTAGGCCAGCCTTTCTCAACCAGGGTTCCATGGGACTGAAAGGTTCCTCAAGAGGTTGCTAGGGTTTGACTCTAAAGGTGGCCATACACTACTTTTTCTAAAGAACATTTGTGCGAAAGATCTTTTGTTCGACTTTCTATTAGTTGATGGGGTCAAATTGATCATCGAGTCAAAAGAGCAGGATGGAACAATTTTCTTGAACGAAAGATTTCGATTTTGGAAAATGTTTCTTCAGGACACTCCATTAATTCCAAAATCTAATATTAAAATAAAACAAAATTTTGTTCGACATTCGTCAAGTCTCTGTTGGCATTATCAGGTGGTAAAGGAAGATCTTTCATTGGTAAAAGATCTTTCGCTCTGAAATATACTACTAGTGTATGGCCAGCTTTAGATATGTAACCAATGATACCAGTGATCTATTCAGCTATCTGTAAAGGGGGCATTCTTCCCACTCACGAACCAGTGCAATTAGTCCCTTCTCTTACTGATTCTCCCATTGATCATTAGTATAAGGGGAACCGATCCTTCTCCCACTGATTACCACTCTAAGAAGACATTTCTCCACTGTCCACTAATATAAGGTTGCCCTTCTTCACTGACCACCAGTGTAATTGGACCCTTCTTTCACTGACTTTCCCAATGTTCACCAATAAAGGGGATCCTTCTCCCACTGGTTATTAATTTCTCCACTGGCATTTCTTCACTGTCCACTAATACAAGGTCACCCTTTTCCACTGTGTAAGGTTACATCTTTCCACCAATGTAAGGGCGACACTACAGGTGAAACTCGAATAATTAGAATATCGTTCAAAGTTCATTTATTTCACTAATGCAACTTAAAAGGTGAAACTAATATATGAGATAGACTCATTACATGCAAAGCAAGATAGTTCAAGCCGTGATTTGTCATAATTGTGATGATTATGGCTTACAGCTCATGAAAACCCCAAGAACCCCAAATCCACAACCTCAAAAAAGTAGATTATTACATGCAATCAATAAAACAAGGATTGTACATGGAACAATATCGGACCTCTGAAAAGTACAAGCATGCATGTGTACTCAGTACTTGGTTTGGGCCCCTTTTGCAGCACTTACTACAATTACTTTTGCACGATATTCTAATTATTCGAGTTTCACCTGTACATGGACCACTGACGTAAGGGGGCACTTCACTGACCACCTGTGTAAGTGGACTCTTTTCCATTGACCATTATACTAAGTGGGCATTTCTCCAGTGATCACCAATGTGAGGGAACACAGTAGTTTTTACTGTGTTCTTTTCTAGCCATTATTGTTAGCTTAATTTCATTATTATTACTGAAAATCATTTTGTTGAATAGAGCAGCCCTGGTTGTTAAACATACTAAGTACACCACATTCCTTATTCTTTCTTATATTGCAACTTAATTTTCACGCTAATGTATCATGAGCTATAGATCTAGCAGTTATTAGCAGGGGCTTTCTGAGACCTGAAAGTTATTTCAAGGGTTCCTCTGTGTTAAAAAAGGTTGACAAAGGCTGTGTAATCTGGTTAGTGCTATCAGTAGCACATAATTTGCAGTTGTGTTAATCAACCATGTAATGCAAAAGGAAAGCTGATTTACATTGTATTATATTTCTGTATTACATGAATTGACAAGATAAATCACAATAAATTTTCAATGGTGCCATCCAAAATTATCTTTGTATCTTCGTCCTTACATGTTATAACTGAACATTTCCAAAATGGGTGAGTGAGTCGGACAGGTGATAATCGGAGTACAAAAGTCTAATCCACACTGAGCTCACAAACAACAGGTTGTGGAAATGGCAACCATGGATACATGCTGCTGGTTCCAAGAGGATGTAACCTAAACCGCGCAAGGCAAACAAATCTAAAATTTCAATACATTATTCACATAATCCCTAAGTAGAGGACATGAATGGGCTTGATAGTGCACAGAAAGTCTTTTACCATAGAATCTATTATTGTATGAGTATGAGCACTATGATATCTACAGGTGTATGGGTGATAGTTATTGTTTAATTTCTAAGTACTAAAAGCCATGGTAAGACAAAGTGTTGAGATGCGTATTGTTTACAAATGTAGGGCTTTTGCTTTTGGCTGAGCTGCGTTTCATTCCTATGAAAGTCAATGTGAAGGTGAAAGCAACCTTAACCAACTAGATTAGAAGCACTTTGAAGGAACCAAATAAGGCAAAGGCAAACAAACTCAAAAGCAAGTCAGAGCACCTCAGAAGCACATAAACTAGTTTTCTAAAATGTAATGGCCATTGACTTAAAGCCTAAAGGTGCCCATACACTGTACGATTCTCGTACGAGAATCGTGGGAAATCCCACGATCGTACGAGAATCGTACAGTGTATGGAAGGCGTGCGACCGTTTCTACTGTACGGTCGCACGTCTTCCATCGAACAAGCAGGCTGGAAAACCCGCCGGGAATCGTACGATTCTCGGCGAGTTAGTGGCCTGCTTGTTCAACAACTGACGAACGGGCCGGTGTGCGCACACTGCCCGTTTGCCGTCCTTGCAAGCCCGCCCCTCATTGCAGTCATCGCAAGTACGATCTGCCTGTCCAAGATGGGCAGATCGTACATTTTTTTAAGTACTTTACAACCCTCGCAAGACAAAAGTCTTGCGAGGGTTGTAAAGTGTATGGGCACCTTTATGCTGTGCTGAGATCCATTTAAAGGGATTCTACTACTAGACTTCTATTGGCCCACCCTATATGGGCAAAGTGACAGATTCGCTTTAAGAACTAGGGGCCATCGCCTGCTGCCTGACATGTCTACACTAGTTTTCTTTGTCAGAGAATAGTATTTGCTGAATGAAATGTTGCATAAGTTACAAATGTATCTAAAAAGAGCATACCTTCCTGTTTTGAATGTCAAGTAAATGTTACAGTGCTGCGATGACTAAAGGATTATGAAGAGCTGCACAAGTCACTCTGCTACTCTGGCATCTGATTGACAGGCAGTGAGAACCAATCAGAAGCTGAGCAAGCAGGGAACTTAAGCTGGCCATACACCTTACAATTATCTGCAGATTTTCTGTGGTCAGATGGAAAAGGTGCAACAGATTCCTCCCTCTACACTTAACTGTGTGGATGGAGTCATCTCCACCTGGGCCAATCTGTTGCACTTTTTCCATCTGACCACAGAAAATCTGCAGATAATTGTAAGGTGTATGGGCACCTTTACCCTGCTACGTAAAACAAGGCATTGCTGAGGTGAAAAGTTTGACTTGTAACAGCTGTGATCCATTGCTATTGAAAAACACAGTTGAAGCAGTGCTGGTGCCCTTGCATCTATGATGCCTCTATGAGTGGGTCTTCAGTGCTTACCACCATTGCAGGGGCTTGCTCGTCAGAGATTTATGTATTTTGAGTGACCTGAAAAATGTAGCTATACTACAGTAAAGCAGTTGCCCATAAATGCCTGCAGGAACCTCTGCATGTGTTTTCTAGTGCCCAGGAACCTCTGAAATCTAAAGCCCTCTAGTAAGCAAGCACTAACTTTACTTTCCAAAGTCAATGGCTGGGCTGTCCCACCCAACTCCTCTGCCTGACTATTCATTATTGAGCTCATTCATCATACTTAAAGGAGAATTATGAGGCGAGTGATTTTCACTCAGCCTTATAATCTGAGCCGACCTGTGACAATGAAACTGTCACAGGTCGGCTCAGTAGATCGGGAAGTGAGCGAACACATATCGTCGCTCGCTCACTTCTCGATCTATCCGTGCAGAGAGCCGTGACTGTCACTCACGGCTCCCTGCAGGGATTTCCCCCCTCCCCTGTCCGATCCTCCAGTGCTGACTGGCGGAACGGACGGGGCGGGTACAGCTGGCTCTGCCTCTAGATAGGCAGAGCCAGCTGTCACTCACGCAGTTGGGTGGATCCAGACAGCATTGTCGGGATCCGTTCCGGCTGCGGCGTCTCAGTATACCACGAGCTGTAGCTCGCGGTATACTGAGCTTTGGGTGACGGGAGGAAGCTAGTTTGTGTCCTCCCGTTACCCTTAGGAGAACTATGGGGAAAAGCACTGGACCCATAGTTCTTCTTTAAATACCTTAAGATAGGTGCTGGAGGTCAGTCACTGACTTTGGAAATGGGAACTAAAGTCAGTATTTATATGTCAAAGCCTCCTAAATTCAGGGCTTCCGAGGAGCTCAAAACATTTCAGAGTATGTACAAGCACTTGGGAGTACCTACTTTTTCCTTAGTAACTTTCCTTTTTATTCCCCTGATATTTTCCCGAAGCCCCCCCCAACAGTAAAAAAAAATAAAAGTTAAAAAAATAATCAAAAATAAATAATCAAAATAAAAAATAAATAAAAATAATAATTAAAAAAACATGCACTGGAGGTGGGGCATATGACATCACACGCCTGTTGGGGGGGCACCGTTTTTTATTCTAGCCTCGGGTGCAAAAGGAGCTTGCTATGGCTCTGTTCCTTACTGTTGCTTCCTAACTTCATTTGTGGATGAAAAGATTTAGTTCAAAGAAATTTGTAATACTCCTTGGTGATATCAAGTGCAGCTCATCTTTTGGCAAATGCTTTAAGTGCAAGCTTGCCAGTCCAGGCCTGAAGATGGATTTACTTCTCACTGTTACAAAATAAATCTTTGATTACACTTACTGGAATAAAGTGGATGGTCGGGAACCTCTGCACCGCAGAACGAAACATGAAGTGCCTACAGAAAAGAAGAGACACACCACACATGAAGTGTTAGCAGTACATACACAGGTGCACAACGGCACACAATAGAGAGGTGTTGATGCTAAACATTCACAGTATTTAGTCTGATGGCAAACAGTGAAGGTCCATTCAGACCTATCTGTTCTTGTGTGTTGCATGAAAACAGCCCATTCATTTTGAATGGGCTGCTAGCGCACAAGAAAGGACGAAAAATCAGGCGAGCGGCATTTCTTCTGACGCACATGCTACTGCTTCGGAGCACTGCAAAGTTTCAGAAGTGTTTGCAAAATGACAACACAACCCACTAACACGTCATGCCATTGCAAACCTGTACTTCAGAAAATGCTAGCTGTCTGGCTGTCATGCTAACCCAATTTCTTCAGTAGTTTGACCATTAACAAGTATGCAGATGACGAATTCTGATTTCCCTGCTCTGTAAACTTGATCTGAGTTGTCTTCACATTTGAGATTTAGGGGTAAGTTAAAGAGTTCCTTTAGCCAAATGTATTTTTAGTTGTGGATATAGTAAGTGATGGCTGTTGTGTAACCTTTGGAAGACATTTATTGCTGGGAGATCAAACCTTTTTATTTATGGTGACCATTGTCAGTGGGATAGAAAGTAATGGCAAATCAGAAATGTTACAGTTGTCACAGGAATAGGAATGGAGGATAAATCTTCCAGTATTGTAAAAAGTGTAAATCCACCACTTCCTGTGAACTCTCTTCAGCACAGACTGCATGGTTTTGCGCTAGACTAGTAAACTTCTTACTTTTGGTCCAAGCCCAAGCTAATCCAAACCCGGAAGTAAGGCTTTAGTGGACACCCAATCAGCTGCAGCCAGGACATTCCCCGCAGCCCCACGTAAACAAAGGGGTGGGATGCTGGTGACATCATTGAGTTAATATGGCCACGTGTCATTTGTTCTATGGCATTGACCTAATTTGGCCATATAAGGTCAATGATGTCACTAGCATCCAGCCCCATATTTATGGGTGGCTGCAGGAAAAGGAATACCCTGGCCGCAGCTGATTGGGCATGCACTGACACCTAACTTCTTTGGACCAATCCTAAACTCATCGCTACTCTGGACCCACTTCTTGATATTAACAACAGTGGACCATGCCTGTGCAATATGTGTTGGCAGGACCACTTTTAGTTTGCACCAGAGGCTCTTGTGACAGGGTGACAAAACAGGAGCACAATTTAAATGGAAGCTGGAGATTTCAAAAGATTGAAAAAGTATTTGGAATTACATTAACATGTCGAAGCTTATATTTGATATTGGTGATTGGGTTTGGGTCTACTTTCATGCTTATTCTTAACACAAAGTTACATTTATTCTTTACATTGTTTACCTCCAGTGCTGGTTGCTCCTGAGAGTAGGCACATAATCTCGATAGGTGGCAACCATGCAGTGTGAAATCTAATTAATACCAGCGCAAAACTAATTATACCTGTAACCTGCTCCCAGCTTCTCCACCCAAAAGAAAATTAAAGGTATTTGGTAAAAGTCTAAATTTAGTACCAGGGGAAATGTGTATATAAACAAGGTAGGCAAATATAACCTTCACCTAATGGTTCACATGTACAGAAGACCAGTATTTTCTACTTACTTGCAAGGGTGAATATCCACAGGGTGTGGGCTGAGATTATACTGACAGGGATCTGTGTTTAGGTCCTGCAAATATAAGTGTCAAATATTAGATCTATAAAGTTAGTTCCCAGAGGTTTAGAATACAGGCTGAGCTGGTTATGTACCCAATGAGATGCCTATTGACTCATCAAGCTGTCTCCTCTATGCAGAACAGATGGTCCTTGAAAAAAAAAAAGAAAAAGTCTGGTTGCCGAGCAAAGCCAGTCATATTCTACCCATTGATCTTTTTAAAGTACTTCTGTAGTCCCAGCATATACTATCCTGTTATACCATCAGTATTGTAATAGGGATACATACTATAGTTGTTTTTGAGAATACTGATTGGTTCTATAAGATGTTCTGCTCATTATACATTTTCCAAATAGATAAAACAATTTGTTCACATTCTGGAAATGCCCACATCCTAATTATAAATAGATTTGTCCCATTCTAAAACAGTGTTTACCACTACTCTTATAGCTTTTACACTGACAAGGTTATATAAACCATTTATATACTTATATCTTCCTTTTCCTTTTATTTGATAACCATTTACCATATATTCAGCCTAGGTGAACCTTTGTACAGGTTGACCACAGGCTAGTCACACAAGCTGCTGTGTTTACATTTACAGCACTAGACTTATACAAATAACAAGAGGCCTTTAGTCCTAATTTTACGTAGCCATTCAAGGGCGTACATTGACCAGACCAGGAAATCAACAACAGCCTAACCTAACACTCTTCGCGGCTGGTCGCATGTAATCGCACATGCAGTGGTTAGCCATGGTTAGGGACAGATGAGCGCCCCTGGTCACAAATGGGGGAATTGATCAGTACTTGAACAGACAGAATCTGGATCAGTTGCCCATAGTAACCAATCAGTTTCTCTAATCATCTTGTTAAGTTAAGCTCTCAAAATGAAAGATAGAACCTGATTGATTGCAGTGGGCAACTGCTCCAGTTTTTGTCAATACTGGGGATGCACCGATATCGGTTTTTCGGTATCTAGTGCAAGTACCAATATTTTTTCCGGTACTCGCCAATACTGAATACCGATACCGGAAGTCCCATTAAGGAAGCTGGGTGGCATGTAATGACTCACCGCCCGACTTACCGAATAGCCGGAAAGCCGTCTCCATGTTGCCTCATCACCAGGTGACGTGGAAGCATGGAGCCAGCTTCCTGACCAATCAGGAAGCTGTGCAGCGAGTGATTACCCACCCCCCGGCTTCCTGATTGGCTGAGAAGCCAGAAGTTCTGGTATTGGGATAGGCATCGGTAGCATTTGGGCGAGTACAGGTACTCGCCCAAATACTCTGTATCAGGACCGATACTTGTGCTAGTATCGTATCGGTGCTTCCCTAGTAAATACCCCTCAAGATGTCTGCATACAGAGCCACTCTTTATCCCTAATTGCGGGTAACCACTTAATGTGTGATAACATGTGAATAGCCCTGGACAGTGTCAGCCTATCATTGATTTGTATGGGCAACTGATAGCAAGCACCTGGCCCTACCCGCCACAGAACTACACTGATTTGAGCAGTGTATGGCTCTTGACAGCCATGTGAAGCACAAAGATCCAGTAATGATACCACTAGGTCTAAAACCAGTTATGTAATAAAAAGAAAGGGGTTGGTGGAAGGGGAAGGGAAGATCCAGGGAAGGCAAAATATAAGCAGAATACATTTCTGAGCGTTTATATATCTAATATATATCACACTGAGATGCAAAACAATGGTGGTAATTTAACAAAACTGGAGCAGATAAAATATGGAGCAGTTGCCCATGGCAACCAATCAGCTTCTCTCTTCAGTTTGCTCAGTTAAGATTTGAAAATGAAAGAGAGAAGCGGATTGGTTGCCATGCACAGCTGCTCCAGATTCTGTCTGCTCCAGTTTTGATAAATTCCCAATGCATTTAAATAGGAAATGGAAAAAAGTCCCCATCAAGTTTTGTTTCTGCTTGTCCTATGAGAAGATGTCTTGTTACTTTGTGTCCTGGAGACACAGCAGCCAATCAAAAATCCATTTACTGATTTCACTGTAACAAATGACAATCTGATCTGTTGCACTGAGTTACCAAATTTGCAGGTTATACTTGCTCTTTGCATAGCATTATTGAATAGAACGGTATTGCTGTTCATTTGTATTGCCAGAATATGACAGAATTCCTCTTTGCAAGTATAAAACAAAAATAAAATTCCTCATTTACAATGGGGCCTGTGTGGCAGCCTTGTGCAGCTTGTAATGAAGGGTCTGTACGTTTCACAATTGTTATGTATCTGTCGCCATGGGCAGTTTTATATCGCTCAGAGCCAGGCTGTCAACTGGCTGTATATTAGTGAGAGAACCTTTCACCTTTCCTTTCAGCGGAATATGTGTGTCCTGTTTCACCATGCAGTTGGTAAATAAAAGATAGACATATTTAATGTCACCTTTCCCTCCAGGGTGAGCTACAAATATCAGACGTATAGCTGAGTGCCAGCAATCCTACTCCCTCCTCTTCTGCCTGTCCTCTGCAGATTTGCAGTCAATCTCAGCTCAAATAAATATGTTTTAGCCTGGAAATAATTTAATTTCATGCAAAAAACATATAACATATATATAAAAGGTTCATCTTTATTTGTAATCCAGTAAGAACATTGTCAACCAGAACAGAGTAAACAACAGTCGTCATTTTACAGGGGTACAACACACGAGTAAATCATATGTTTGTCAATTGAATATTCATCACTGATATAGTAAGTCTTGGCAGCAATTTTAAAGGTTTATTAGCTGCCAAGAGCAGGGTTTCTCAACCTTTTTTATGTAACATATCGAGTCCCCCCAGTCTAAGATGTTAAACCGTAAATGTAAAAGACAATGTGTGGCCCCTCCAAAAAAAGATTTTAAGGGATCCCACACAAAAAAGGGGGGTTCTCTTCTTCAAATCAGAGCCCCCCCCCCCTTTCACATCAGAATCCCATCTTTTACATTAGAATCTCCCTTCGCATTAGGACTCCCCCTCTTTTCACACTAGAAGCTCCCCTTTATATCAGGAGCCTCCTTCACTTTAGAGTCTTACCATCACATTAGAATCCCCTTTACATCAGGAGCCTTCTTCACATTAGATTCCTACCATCACATCAGAGCCCACCCTTTGCACCAGGAGCCTCCTTCACATCAGAGTCCTACCATCACATCAGTGTCCCCCTTTGCATCAGGAGCCTCCTTCACGTTAGATTCCTACCATCACATCAGAGCCCACCCTTTGCACCAGGAGCTTCCTTCACATTGGATTCCTACCATAACATCAGAGCCCACCCTTTGCATCAGGAGCCTCCTTCACATCAGAGTCCTACCATCACATCAGTGTCCCCCTTTGCATCAGGAGCCTTCTTCACATTAGATTCGTACCATCACATCAGAGCCCACCCTTTGCACAAGGAGCCTCCTTCACATCAGAGTCCTACCATCACATCAGTGGCCCCCTTTGCATCAGGAGCCTCCTTCACATTGGATTCCTACCATCACATCAGAGCCCACCCTTTGCACCAGGAGCCTCCTTCACATTGGATTCCTACCATAACATCAGAGAAAACAAGGAGGGAAGCGCTACAAACTAAGTGAGAGGGCGTGTTACGGAGCCAGGGAGGAGGGAATGGGAAAAGGTTGGGAGGAGCAGTCTTAATTTCTGTGGCCGAGTGATATGTTCGGCGGTCGATCCAATTTGTTCAGATGATCCCCAGGGAACATGAATATAAATTGCGACGGTGAGGATACGGTGTGAAATAAATCAAAGAAAAAAATCATCAAAGAAAAAAATGTAGAAACTTACTCTTGAGTGAGGGGTGTTGCGAGGTCATCGATGAGGAGTAAGGACAGATGGTGCCACTTCTTCAGGAAAATCCTGACTGCGAATCTTTGTTAAGAGAGTCTTTTTGTCTGTAGTTCTATTGATTGAAGGTGATGGGGAGGCAGAGGCGGTGTACTTCTCAATCGCTAATCTCAGAGAATTTATCCAGACGGGTATGCCCCAGGGGGACTGATCAGAAACTTTCCCAGGTGATATCAGGGATATTTCACACCGTATCCTCACCGTCGCAATTTATATTCATGTTCCCTGGGGATCATCTGAACAAATTGGATCGACCGCCGAACATATCACTCGACATTAGAGTCCTACCTTCACATCAGTGCCCCGCATTGAATCAGGAGCCTCTTTCACATCAGAGTCCTACCATCACATCAGACACTACCATTGAAATGAAACAAGGCTTCATCACTATAAACACCATTAGTTTCCACTTTCAATATCCCATATGGCTGTCTGAGTCAACTCCATGCAGTTCCTAGTCCAGCTGCACTTTACAGGGATGGAAATGATGATTTCTAATACTTCAGTACCTATGGTTCCAGATTTTTATGACATACTGTATACTGTAAATTTGTAGTGCATGGAACATGACCCATTCTGACCAGTAAAAGGAACCTGTGCTCAGGGGCGTCCCTAGACATCTTGCGTCCTGAG